TCGATATACTATAATTAAATTCAAGGTATGACTTTTAAATCTTTTAAATTATTTGGAACATTTGAAATTGTTTAAAAACTTATTTGTAGCCTGGCGTTTGAAAAAAAAATAGCATGTTCTATTCGGAGTATATAAAAATGAATTTTTGTGCCTCGGCTGTAAAAACGTACAGCTTCGCCGCGAAAAGTGTCTTTCACTCCTCATAAAACAATATACTATTTTCCTCCTGTAAAGACAATCAGGGGACATACTGCGAATACCAAAGATATTTAAACTCGGTTTTTAATATCTTTGGTAGATACAGAAAATAAATCTGCTAAACAACATAGAGACATCAACTGCGAAACTCTAAACGGTTTTGCGAGGTGCGAAAACGAGGCATCTGCCTCCGGCACCCAAGAGGAAATGACGTCACACACTCCGACACCTCCGTCGAGTGAGCTGTGACGCCTCCAAAGCGTTCGTTGGTCCCTCCAGGCTGCGTTCTCTCCCGTCGCCCGAGCCGGGGGAGAAGCGACGCAAGGACGCCCGCTTGCTACCCCTGTAGATCTGTCAGTTTTTCGCCCCGCTGACTTTCTTTCTCCAGGCTGGGGGGAAGATTTATGTCGGACATTACGCCCAGAATATATTCGAAGCCTGTCTAAGTGAATTGTGAGATCTCTATTCTAAGTGCGGTTGTATTATTTTAAAATAAGTTTACTGGATCTCTGTGTCTATGAGAGGAATTTCAAGAATGCGGACACAATATTGGAGTATAACCAGTTTAGCTCAGTCATTGGGGATCAAAAAAGGGGCCTGCTTGGAAAAAAGTCCAGAAGTTATGAAACTTTGCAGGTTTATAGGTTTTGGGGTCCCTAACTAAAATCCATAAAATGCACATTCCCAGACTTGCCGCCGGTGCCGCCATCTTGCCAAGATAGCGCCCAAAATCGGTATTTTGTGAATATCTCGAAAACTGTGCGTTTTTCGCGAAAATTTGTGGAGAGCAATTAAAGAGAATAAAATTTTCTATAAAAAAGGTTTTATGAAGATTTTCGCTAAAGTCAACCGTTTAGGCACAAAATCCCTGGAAATTTTACAGTTTTGCGTAAAATATGATATATTAAGTACAGTCGATTTTCCGAAATCAAATGTCGATTACGGTTCACTAAAACTAGTTTTAGTTTAGTTTCTTCAATTTTGTCACGAAACAGTGGCGTATCATTAATTCGCTCATTAATTTATGAATAATTAATTGTCGTGCTGGACAGCATTCATTGCGAACTTACCACCAGGTTCAGTATTGGTTTGGTTGTACCAAAGATGCCGAAGAATGGGGTTGGAAGAAAACAAAAACAGGCATTACTCCAGTCACAACGTTGAAAGGTCCAGCTCTAAAATCCCTGTTGGCATTTTTATCCTGTAAATGCAAAACCAACAACTATGGTAAAGCCTGCGGATGCAGAAAAGCAGGATTAAAATGTTCAATGATTTGTGCATACTGCAATGGGAAAACCTGTCACAACGTCACTGAAGTGTCACTCGACGAATCCGATGAAGAGGAGTTGGACTTGCCTGTAGATATCCCTCTGACGGCTGAAGATGAAGAGTTGGACGTATTGAGAGACCACCCTGATGAGCCCAGCACAGCAGACATGATCAACTTTGACATCAATGAGCCAGATCCGTCGGGCTTGTGCAGATAAATTAAAGCTGTGGTTAAAGTTTTTAATTTATCTAGTGGAGTAGGCCTCCGGGGAGACCACGTTAAAATAAACGCGCCATATACTTTACCTCTTGGGTGGTGTGGAAGCAAGTACACATTTTCAATAATTAAAATTAATTATTCATAAATTAATGAGCGAATTAATGATATGCCACTGTTTTATGGCAAAATTGAAGAAACTAAACTAAAACTAGTTTTAGCGAACCCTAATCGACATTTGATTTCGGAAAATAGACTAAACAGAATATATCATTTTAAAATAAATTTCTTTTTTTAAGTAAAATTTCCTGGGATGTTACGCCTAAACGGTCGACTTTAGCGAAAATTTGTATAAAACCTTTTTTTAGGAACCCCAAAACCTATAAACCTGCAAAGTTGCAAAACTTCCGGACTTTTTTCCAAGCAAAAATCCCCAATGACTGAACTAGTTTACTACAAAACATATTTAAATAAACAGCAATATAATTTATAGATCGCTACAAGATGCAGAGAATCCACCTGGACTTGACGAGTAGGGTTCAGAACCCGGAAATCCCGGTACCGAAAGTACCGGGAATTCCCGGTTCTTTTGAGACATCAAAGAACCGGGACTCGAAATTAATTCCCGGTTCTTTCGATACTTTCGGGACTCGGTAATAATAATTAAAAATATATTTTTTGTTACGTGAGAAAGACTTTTGATACTTTCTAGCAGGCGAAATGAAACTCTTATAAATAAGTAGTGATGCTATATCTTATTGTTCTTACTTCTGAAGTTGTTTTGAAGTTTCTATAATGTTTATTAGCAATTATTGAAGTTCAAATATGTTATTTTATTATTTAGTATAATATTGCTAAATGTATTATTTATATTTTTTTGTGTTATGTTTTTATAGGCATTTGCATCTATTATTGAAAATTTTAAGTTTTTTTTCAAATTCAGTTAAATTGGTTTTTCGATGTTGTTTGATGTAATTTTTTAGCTACCTATCTGTTTTAGTTTTTTTTTTCGCTTGTATTCATTATTTGTGTTTTTTCTCATGACTTAATTATTTGATATTATTGTCACTGGAAACTAAATTTTTTATCGCTTTTACTTTTGAGAACCATCATCTATTGATTTTATGAATATACTCGTACTCGTACCTCGTACATATAAAAAAAAAAAACATATATGATCATTGTCATTGTTAGTGGTATATCAGATTTAAAATAAAAATGCTGCCTTTTGATTTAAAGAAATATATATTTGTTTATTAGTGTTTTTCTTTTGTTTTTCAAATACATTCCTTTTATTCCAAGCATTTCTCTTTATATTTTGAAGTGCAATGCTTAATGATTTATTAATATGTCACTTTGTTTAAAGCTTGAGTCGATTTTAATCGAATAGGATCAGTACTAACAATTTAAATGAAATAAATATCAAATTTATTAGTAAAATAACTTTATTTCGGAATTAATCTTTTGGTGATAAATAGGTAAATACAATTGTATTGAATGTCTTCCAAAATAAAAAAAAATAATAGATATAGGTAAGGGTATCCCGGTGAATTTTGTCTAGTGACGAATGGTTTTTGTAATGAGATTGTAAAATACATATTTTAAAATTATTGTAGAATATACTGTAATAATAAAAAAATAATAATTTTTTTACCTTTTATATTGGTACGAGTTGTAGTAAGTTCCACTTTTTTAACAATTTTGATAGCTTGACTTTGTATTATACATCTGAATTCTCATCATTAAGCGAAATATTACTTTGCAAATTTGAATTGTTGAATTCGTCCAGCGTTAATTCACATATCCTCGGCCCGACACATTCCATCACTTTTAAAGAAAAAGTTTGGTTCTGCCATATTGGTACTAAATTAATATTAACATTTGATTATTCTAAACAACTACTAAAACACATAGATAAATGCAACAAGTTTAGATTGGAAAGCCCGTAAAAATTTTAGGTCGCGAAATTATTTTGGGTCGCGACCGTTATACGCGATCTGGCGCTGCTATAGCGGTCGCTAAGAACAACGGCAAACAAAAACAGAAATAATTTTCTCTTGTCAAAGTCAGAATCTTCAAAAATCATAATCTTTCAAAATCTAAACCGCTCTCATTAAAGAAATTCCGAAAAGTGTTTATGGCACGTCCATTTTCAAAGTAATTATGCTATCTTGTGAGTTGAATTCAAGTTTTATTTACTCAACCGGTAATAATAATTGCGAAAAGTGGCATTCATAACTTAAAGCTGTGCTGTGAACTGTGAACTGCAAAAACCATCGTGGATCGTGGCGCAACGTCGGTTCCAATGTTTCATAGGTATTTCATATACGCGTCCTTATATAAAAATAAAGTTTCTTGTATGCAACACACTGTATTTATTTATAAAATTAAACGAAAATAATAATAAATTTGAATAAACAATATTTGGCGATATAATTCCGGAAAAAGCCGAACCGCTCCGAAATTTTCAAAAGTTTTGGGTCGCGACCGTTGCAAGAATAGCGCCAAATAGTGTTTACATTGTCCTTATGGGCACTTTCCAATCTAAACTTGTTTCATTTATCTATGCTAAAACAACACATTACCTGTAAACGATACAATTCTCCTTTTTGGTCACTAACAACAACTATCATACATAATAAATACCATTATACTAATCTATGGTACTATCACAGATAACATGTGGTACTATCACAGATAACACATAATCCAGATGGCGATTATGTGTTATCTGTGGAACTATTCAAAAAATGTGTGGCCGATCGGGCTTATCCCGTCAATCCCGACAAACACCATCTTTCGATGTCCATCTCGAATGACTTTCTATTGGAGAGTATTAATCACGTAGCAAAAGCCTACCAGAAATGTATTTAAACCATAGATTTAAACAGTTAGCAATTCTTATACAAATAAGATACTCCCGTGCTTAAAATAAATTTATTAGAAGGACGTCTTGTTGGAATAAATAGACAAGCAACACTTTTCAAAAATAATAAGGCAATGCCAGTTTATTTTGAACGTGGTTCTTTTAAAACATATAGGGTAATAATTACTTTAAAAGGACTAAATATTAGATATCCGATAAAATAGTATTCACTTTATTTCGAATGCTAAGTGCATGCGTGTACTGTTGAGCAAAATTCATATAAATTTATGCCGGTCCGGACCGAACACGTTTGAACACCGGTAGTTACGTCACTGGCTGGTATCATGAGAGCAATGTTGATTCATATTCTTGATATTAGGCCTAATGTTAGTGTTTAAGATCGGAAGGCATGAGCTAGCCATTAAACTAATCTCTAGTCTTTTGTTTTAGAAAGCCTGATCCATGTCACGCCGCCCGGCCTGCTAGGACTGTCATCGTACCTTGGTGGCGGGGGTGGAGGGGGTGGCGGCACGGGGGGAGCGCATTCGCCCTCGATCGCCAAACCTGTTGCCAGCAGGCCGCCCCATTTCAACCCGCATTTGCTGCTGGCTCACTGCCGGCCGCAGCCCTATTTAACAGGTGAGAGACAGGTTGTGTCAAAACGGAATTAGTGGAGAAAAGGGTAAAGGGGGGCACGACAATAAGTCTATTAAATCGGGACGCCAAGCTGTTACATGTAAATTTTATAATAATAATTTTTTAATTTATTTTTATCTGCAGAATATGCTGGCCGAATACAATTCGGACCACCCTGTATATTAATGTCGTGATCTTGCAAATTTACTTACAAATAGGGGGTTGTAAACAATTTTTTTTTGACAAAAAGGGGTCGCGCTTTATACGAGGTGTAACAAAAAACATGTGCCATCTCTCGTGGGGAGGTTCCTCACATAAAAATAAGATTTATTTTTCATATCAACATAGGATCCGATTCTACTTTGTTTCGTAGCTACAGGGTGTTAAAGTCTTAATATTTTTTCGATCTATTATAATTTTCTCCAAGTACTTTTAGCGTTTCGAATGAAATTTAAAGTAAAATTTACTATATAAATGCGACATACTTTAAAGCTAAAAAATTGTCGACATATTCACCAGGGACGTGCATATGGGTTATCACTGGAATATTTTTCTTAAAAAAAGCATGTACGCCACTGACTGTTTTTCTTTTGTTTTGTAAACAGTTTAATATCGATTAAAAGTTATCTCTTGATATTTTGTCGATTTCGGCCTCCTTGATGAGGTAAACGCAATTTTATTAATTTGCCTTGATCCAAGTCTATAATAGCAACCTTTAAAAAAATTAATATCATTAACTTGCGAAAGTTTTAAATAACTAAATTGATTGTTCATCAAAAAATATTAAAAAAAGTTCCTATAAACATGGGTATGGAAATGCATAGTTTTAGAGTTACAGGATGTTAAAACTTTTTAAAATTAGTTTTTTTTATAATTATCTTAAATACCATTATTTTTATGTAAAATTGCTGTAGATTTGACTAATAGTAATAATATTTAATAATAAATTAAATAAAATATATAATTTAATTAATTTTATTTTTATCAATTATGATTAATGAAATTGTTTTTTATCTCATCAAGGAGGCCGAATTCGACGAAATATAAAGAGAACTTTTAATTGGCATTAAACGGCCTACATAATTTTGGTATCAAAAGAAAAAAGTCAATGGCGCGTATGTTTTTATTTTTTTGAAAAATATTCCAGTGATAACCTATATGCACCTCCCTAATTAATTTATCGACACTTTTTTCAGCATTAAAATATGTAGCACTTATAGTAACTTTTACCTTACATAAAAATACTTGGAAGAAAATTATTAATAAATCGAAAGATTATCAAAACTTTAACACCCTGTAGCTACGAAACAAAGCAGAATCGGACCTATGTTGACATGAAAAATAAATCTTATTTTTACGTGAGGATTCTCCCCACTCGAAATGGCACAAGTTTTTTTAAACGCCCTGTATGTATAAGTTTGGGAAACTCTGTTCTAATAAATAGACTGTGATCACAACATGCTAAATTTAGGATAGTTATCAGTCAATAATACCGAAAAAGAAATATTCTACAATCATCAACTTCAGTTTTCCCCTTCGCAGTATCCACCCCGGTGGGATCCGGTACCCAGTCGGCCGTGTTTCCCCTGCCCGGCACCTTCCCCTGGGCGCACAGCGGGCGGGGGAAGCCGCGCAGAGGCATGATGCGCCGAGCGGTGTTCAGCGACCTGCAGCGCAAGGGACTGGAGCGCCGCTTCCAGATCCAGAAGTACATCAGCAAGCCGGACAGGAAAAAGTTGGCGGAGAAGCTGGGACTTAAGGATAGCCAGGTTAGTTGGGAGTGAGATATTGTTGTAAACCTACGTTTAATATAGTTATAAATATATATTAATATGTATATTCTACAAATTAAATAAAATATTAATTTTATCCTTATTATACTACGGCTATGCCTAAATAGTTTAAGTTATAAAAAAATGTCTAACAGCATTATTCATACGAGAGTAATAGGTCGATGTGAATGAACAGAACCATTGCCTGTAGATAAACTATATCCGCTAATCATCCCCTAACTACTCTAATATATAATATATTCACATCATTAATACAACATACACGGTGTTTAAAAAAACATGTGCCATCTCTCGTGGGGAGATTCCTCACGTAAAAATAAGATTTAATTTTCATATCAACATAGGTCCGATTTTGCTTTGTTTCGTAGCTACAGGGTGTTAAAATGTTAATAATTTTTCGATTTATTATAATTTTCTTTCACATACTTTTAGGGATTTGAATGAAATTTTGAGGGTAAATATTACTATAAGTGCTACATATTTTAATGCTAAGAAAGAAGAAAGTGTCGATAAATTCATCAGGGACGTGTATATGGGTTATCACTGAAATATTTTTCAAAAAGAAACATGTGCGCCACTGACTTTTTTTATATCAAAATTGTGTAGGACGTTTAATTCCAATTAAAAGTTATCTCTTGATATTTTGTCGAATTCGGCCTCCTTGATGAGATAAAGGCAATTTTATTAATCACAATTAATAAAATTAAAATAAGAATGAAATTAATAAATTATTATTTTACCCAATTTATTACTAAATATTATTACTATTAGTTTTTATTACTATTAGTCCAACATACAGCAATTTTAAATAATAAAATTATGGTATTTAAGATAATTACAAAAAACCTAATTTTAAAAAGTTTTAACATCCTGTAACTCTAAAACTCCATTTCCATACCCATGTTTATGGGAACTTTTTTTCATATTTTTTTGATGAGGAATCAATATGTGAGTACTTATTTAAAACGTTCTCAAGTTGATGATAATATTTTTTTAAGGTTGCTTTTTTAAGGTTGCTGCGGTTTTTAAGGTTGCTTGATCCAAGGTTGACTTGGATCAAGGCAAATTAATAAAATTGCGTTTATCCGTAACCACCGTAATAACAAGGCCGGACAGCTGTGACGTAAAAATCTCGTGACGTCACCAACTGGAGGCCTAACTCTATTTAGCAGCGTTGATAATTACCCGATAAAAGTTCAAATTGTGGATCTTTTTTCACTCAGCAGATATATTTCGAAGTTTTAAAATGTCTTTTTCCGAGTTTTTAAAAATATTATAGTATATAAAAATAGTTTTAATAGAATACGGAAAAAATCATACCAGTCAATAAATGTTTATCTCTCACTTTTTGTCAATCAAATTTAATAAAGGAATATTTTTAAGTTCACAATAGTTTATAATATGAGAAAAAAACAATAAAAAAATAGAAATTTTTATAGTATATATTATGTATTTCATCGATATTTTACGCCCCCTACTCAGGGGCGACGGTGCCGCGCGGCGGAGTGGAGTGGTATTGCCGCAGTTGACAGTCATCGATTTATCGATAGGTGGTAATTATAATCGATAATAGAAGGGTGAAAAAGTTCTATTTAAAGTTCTATTCAGAAAAAGTAGCTGGGAGTCAGTACAGTATTTGTGTTCGACATTTATATGAAGGCAAAAAGAAACTTAGGATTCAGTCATTAATGTCCCTAAAATCTACTTGTTTTGGTTCTATAAAAATCTATACTTTTTATGATTTTATGATGACAATACCTTGTCTAAAGAAATACCACGCAATACAAGTACCACATTGAATCAGATTGGTTTAACATCGACATTACTATTTCTGAACAAGATATCGAAAGTGTGAAGGTTAGGCCTGTTATTGCTTATTTAGAAGGATATTGCTGTTATAATGTTTTAAAGGAAATTAAATGCGATACATGTAAGAATAAGTTAACATTTTCAGACATCACTGATATTGAACAAAATTCACTTATAAAAAACCTTACTAAAGGCAGTCTTGGGTTTCCAAATGATATAGTTTTATTTGAATATATAATTTTTAACAAAGTTTTGCAAAGCCATGAGGAGTTTCTCAAAATTCACAATAAAAAAATATTTTTATCAAAAATATCTTTGGATTTCATTAAAAGTAATAACACCATTATTAAAAGTTCCGCAATGTACTATTTTTAATACTAAGTTATTGTAAAAATTGTCATAAATTCTATTAGAAATACACGTCTGAAAAACTACTGTTGTAAAAAAAATGATAGACTTGGAAAAGAAAATAAAAGAAACTTAGACACACTTACAGCATCAATAAATACAATGACGATGGATAATGTGAGATGGGATCTGATGTTTTTTATGTTTAATTATTATTTATTAAAAATTCGGTGCAATTAAAGTTTATATCCATTATATACGTATAAAGTGTACCAAATGCAATCAAAGTTTAGGCCTCCAGTTGATGACGTCACGAATAAGTTGTCCGGCCTGGGTGGTTTGGTTTCGTTTGGTTTATCTCACCAAGGAGGCCGAAATCGACAAAATATCAAGAGATAACTTTTAATCGGCATTAAACCGCTTACACTATTTCGCTAACAAAAGAAAAAAAAGTCAGTGGCGTACATGCTTCTTTTAGAAAAATATACTAGTAATAACTCATATGCACGTCGCTGGTGAATATGGCGATAGTTTTTTAGCCTTAAAATATGTCGCATTTATAGTAACTTTTACTCTCAAAATTTCATTCGAAACGCTCAAAGTATATATTATAATAAGTATAAGTACGAAAATTATAATAAATAGAAAAAATATTAAGACTTTATCACCCTGTAGCTACGAAACAAAGCAAAATCGGGTCTATGTTGATATGAAATTATTATTAATATCTTATTTTTACGTGAGGCCACATTAATGAGGCCACGTAATTCTAGGCCACAATATTTTTCTGTCCCGACCACTGAAGGTATTTTTTATATTTCTTTTGGTAAATGAATAAATTTTTTTTAATATTTTCTCCATATCAATCGAAACGTACTCGAACGTGTGACGAACACAAACAACAGAACTCGATTAACAACAACCGTCAATTTATAAACAGGTCATTTAATACAATAATAACCTGGCAACTTTTTTGTGTTCAGATTTAACATAAAAAAACACTGTGCACGATGTGCGCATATTTGTAGTGAAAATTCTTAATGCATTATATTCTTAACAGCGGTAACAGCTATTAAATTGAAGAATTTGAAGGATATATAATTTTTTATGAATGCTTTTTATAAACTTCAAAAAAATTCGAGTTAATATAAAACCGAATACTATTCTAGCTTTATAATTTTATAATGTATTTTTAAGGTTTATTATTAAACGATAATTATATTACCTGGCCGGATAGCTGTGGCCATTAAACCAAAATAATTCTACATCTATATCTCTGACTACTACTAACTTCTACTAACCAACAATGTGTTTTGTGTAGTCGGTGGTCTGTTTTCGTTTAAATGTTTTGTTCATTATTCATATTGGGGATTTATTTTTAAATTAATGTTAATCGTTAGGCAACTAGTAAACTCATAGAATATGTATTTCTTTTGCATAAACAAAATTGTCGCTCTAAATTTTACATAACCAATTTGTCACTCTAAATCGCTGTCTTTTTTAGACAGATATCACTTATCTTGTTATCGTTCAATTCATTATTCGAATTCTCAGAATGTTATTAACAAAATATTCATTTTAAAAGAAAATTCAATTCATCCACAAAAAAGACCATTTCTCCTTTTATAACTTTTGATAATCGATCTGGTTTTGTAGCTAATGACGTTTGTATGATTGCTCTTGTTCTTGTTGAGGCAGTAGCTGATATTGCACTTTCAATAAATCCGTCTAACCTATTTGCCAATCGAACTTTCTCGACCTGATTACTATTTCTGGTACTTATCTCGGCCAGCGAAACTTCGTCTTCATCTGAAACAGCTTCTTGCTCTTGCACTTTCGATTGTGATAATCTTTGCACCAATTTGTCAATGAATTTTAAGATTTCTTGGCTTAGCCTGATTAAAATCTAAAGGATTGCTTAAACTTTCTATATATTTTAGTGTGGATTACAGAGATAACCATGCACACTGGAGGCAAGGGTTCTTCGCTCGTTTATTCGTTGCTTCAATGCTTTCTGTAAGTTTTGGCTTAAAGGCGCATTGATTTTTGAAAGTTCTTCGAATATAAACTTAAAGCTAGCATCAGCAGTGTAGAGATTTGCTTCATACCTACATAGTGTCATCACAGCTAGCCTTATAGGTTCTAGGCACTTAACAATTCCGTCCATAATTTCAAAATCGTAGTCACAGAGATTTACTGATATGGAGAGATCAATCATGGCCTTTTGTATGCAATCTTTTAGAAAAACAAACCTTTCTAGCATTCCATCAAGACTATTCCAACGGGTTTTACAATCTAAAATAAGATTTAATTCTTGGTTGTATTTTCCGTGCACGTATTTCTGTAAAACAGTGTTTTTCAATGGAGAGCATCGTAATAACTTTACGATTTTTCGGACTTTGTTGACTAATTCGTTTATGTTGTAGCTGTCAGTTAGGTCGTAAATGATCTCTTCATCCACAGTTTCATTGTCGTCGTCGCTATAAAATAATAATTTAGCAGTTTCGGGACCAAGTTGAGGTCCCGGGACCATCATTGAGTCCCGGGACCACTTATTTTATGCTAAGTATGCTGGATACCCTAGGTGGTACGGTTTCAAGTTTATTATAGTGATTTCCTTAGCCGCGTATGACATAGATCGTTAGCCAGTGTTGCCACAAGCTTATTTTTCATCGGGGTAGAGTGAGTCACGGCCTTGAATTTTTATTCCCAAAGCGCGTAAAGAAGTTTCACTTGAAAAAAGTTGTAACCGGTTTTGTAAATCAGTTTTCAATAAGTTCACAATTGATAATACCCTTGTATATAATACGAACCAAAAA